GCCATGAGTACAGCATAGTAGGTAAGAGTCTGGGCTTGGAGCTGAACAGCCTGGGTATGAAGTCCACCTCAGCCATCCCCCTGACATTGGGGAAGCGGCTTGACTGCTCCCTGCATTGACTGTGGCCCCAACCTCTACTAGCTGCGAGGTTTCGGCAGTTTACCTACCCTCTCGATGACTCCAGTTCTTCATGAGAAGTGAGGTGTAGGCTCTATCAGTCCTGGCTTCCATGGTCCTGTGAGGCAGTGTGCTTGGAGGGCTTGGCATCTTGCATGTACCCAATGACTGCTGGCTGTTGTCATTAAGCGTGGGACCCTGAAGCATGTTTTCATTTAATGTCCTCTCCAGCTTTGTTACTGATGGTTTCCAAGGATTAAAATGTGTGCAGTGGGGCAAAAGAGGCAAGCTATTTTAATTAAAAGTTTTATATAAGTTTAGTTAAATCATTCCAAAGAAAGGGATTCAGTGTTACCATTTTAAACAGTGACTTAGCACTATGGTAACCATATTGTAAAGGGACCTGTGAAGGGTTCCAACATGTACTGGGTGCTTCTGGGACATTTCTAGCAGATCCGAGATTATTACTCAAGTGCTTCTAGAGTTTAGGGATTAGAGATGCTGAAGACCCGGGAGCCAGGGTCAGGCCTTGACTACAAGGGTATATCTGTGTTTGAGAGGCATTAAAGTGTAGTAGAAAGAGAAGTGGGTTTTCTTTAGAATTCCCAAATCAATCACTTACTAACTCTGTAGACTTGAGCAAGTTCACTAGCTTTGAGCATCAGTGTATTCATTTTTGAAAACAGACATGATCGGGGCGCCTGGGTGGCGCAGTCGGTTAAGCGTCCGACTTCAGCCAGGTCACGATCTCGCGGTCCGTGAGTTCGAGCCCCGCGTCAGGCTCTGGGCTGATGGCTCAGAGCCTGGAGCCTGTTTCCGATTCTGTGTCTCCCTCTCTCTCTGCCCCTCCCCCGCTCATGCTCTGTCTCTCTCTGTCCCAAAAATAAATAAACGTTGGGAAAAAAAAAATTTTTTTTTAAAAAGAAAATAGACATGATCATATCTACCCTCATAAAGTTGTGATGAGGATCATGCCACCTTGAGCCCATTAAGGGTTCAATCAGTATTGCCCCTCCCAACATAACCTCTTCTTTCCTAGGAGTAGAAATGGCTCACTTGGTAAACCCCGAGATAGTAAACATACCAAAACATAGTCAGGAGCATCACTGACTCAAAGAGTATTTGCAGTGTGCTATCCCTCTACACAACCCTTCTCTTCAAAGCTTTTGACCTGAAACTATCCCTTTTCAACATATAAATGGTGACTCCTGTGTGCTTTCCCCCTATAAAGAAGAACTTTTAGAAAATGTGGGTTCCGTATTAGAGAATGCAAAGAAACTGAGACGTTCTAGAGGAGCTGATGCCAGATCTACACTTCCAAGCAAGATCAGCTTATTGACTAGAAAAGCCTTCTGAGACTTTGCCTCCTGGCTATTTTTCTGCTGCTCTGTTAGGCATGTATCTCCCTGGTAGACTGGAGTTAAGAGATGTCATTCGCCCACTGCCCAAGACTCACTCACTGAGCTGGCTTACTTTCCCTCCTAGCACCTAGATGAAAATTGGTGGCACTGAGTAAATGTGGGATTTGACGGGGACAAAGGGGAGGAGGTACATGGAACTCCCAAGGAGACACTGTCTGGATACAGCTGGTGTGGCTGTAAGAGAGAATATAGTCAGGTTGGCAAGACTTAGACTTTGGGAAATGGGGTCTAACGCACATAGGTTTAGAAAGAATAATCCCTTCCTTCATCTACACTGGCTTGTGTCTACCTGTATTGTTGATAGAGCAGCTGCTCTACCGGTTTTTTCCTAAATGATAAATAATGTAAATTTCTTAAACAACTTAATAATTTAATTAATAAATAACTTTTGGACTAGCCAGGATCCTACCCATCTATGGAAATATTGTTGTTTTTGAGTTAATGCATTTCTAATAACAGCCAACTTAGAAGTGAAACTTGTAAAACCAAGTCTGGTCTTGTCATTTGGGAGATGTCTAAAATTCCTAATAGCTTGATATGGTCAAATTCCAGGTGACGAAAATGAGTATCTTGTGTTTATTGCACCCATTTTATGTTATAATTGAATGACAAATGTTTAAATGTGTTTTAAAAAAGATCAGAAAACAATCAATTCCAGTGAAATTACATTTGATTGGAAGTAAAGTAAGATTTATAAATATTTATTTATTTACTTATTATAAGATGAAGCACTTATTTCAGTGTGATTTGGCCTTTATGTGAACAGGCAGGAAAGCACCAGATATTACCAGAGCCTTTTATAATTCCTATGTGCTGGTGAGGATACTGTGTTGAATAATGCACACTAAAAATTGGAACTAAATGCCTTACCTCAAACCAAGTTCCAGGAAGATTAAAGGTTCAATATTTTCAAACAAAGCAAGCGACCAAAGAAGGAAAAAGGAATTAAATATTTATCAAATTTGGGAGGAGGGAAATTAAAGTTTATAACTCTCGAAAAAATTACCTAATAAAAAAGGTATGTGGACCATATTTTATAAAAATGCAAAATACCTGTATATTTTAGAGTATTAGAAAAATAGTTATAGCAAATATGTTACACATAGGCAAAGGATAGTTATCTTTATTATGTAAAGAATTTATATCAGATACATACATACACACACAACACACACACATGCACACATAAATTCTTAAACTACTAGAATTTTTAAAAGCTTGGAGAAAATACAATTAGGAGAAATGGTCAACATCATTAGATATTAAGTAAATTGAAAGGAAATAAAAAATACATACTATATACTCATCACATTCACAAATGTTATTTGTTTTAATAGTTGTTATGATAATTCTCCCCATATAGATAATATTAAAGCCTCTCATCCACTAACAGAACATTAAACTGTTGGGCCAACCCACTAGAAAAACAATTTGATAACATGAATCAAGGTAGTGATATTCTTTAATGCACTGGTTTCCTTTCTCTAAACTACACTAAAAAATATTTCTAGTTATAAAACAGCCTTCATATATTTATCATAGTGCTCTTCATAAAAGCAAAAAAATGCTAACCGACCTAACTGTTCAACAACAAAGGAAGTATTAAGTAAATTATGGTACAATCATTAGATCTGGTATCATGAACCCTAAAAGTGATGCTTATGATAACTACATATGGAAAAGTATATTCTGTGTGATTTCCATATATTTAACTCTGTGTGAGAACATTCTGGAAAGAAACTCACAGAAGCACCAACAGCGCTTGTCTTTGCTCTATTGGAGACGTAGGAAGTACGTGTGAAGGTCACAAATGTGAGCTCTGAGTCCGAATGCCTGGGTTTAAATCCCAGCTCTGTCACTTGAGTAACTTTTTGACTTTGACACTGAGTGGCTATTGGAGTCCAGCAAGTTTAAAGTTCACCATAATTAGATTTCCCCATCAGTACACTGGTGGTAAAATAGTACCTACCTCCAGGGGTTTTTGTGAGGATTAAATATAATAACGCAAGTAAAGCACTGACAATGGCTGGCATGTGGTAAGAGCTCAGTAAGCATTAGCTATTTGCTATTTAAGTGAGAGACTCAATAGAGGCAGGCTTCTGCCTTTTCTTTTGCATATCTTCCAAATCACCTTTTTCTGTCTTGAACATATTACTGTTACATTTGGGAGAAAAGCGATAACTATTTTCCTAAAGGCCCTGAAAACTGGATCAGCCAGATTTTCTAGTCACGTAGATTCAGACTCTTAATTGCAGTATCACAGTATATAATCAAAGAATGGATACTTCACAGTTGCTGAGACCCAAGAAATGAAATTGGGGTTGCTGTAATACTTGAAATGAACTTTGTGTCTCATTTCCTAAGAGAAGGAGCCCATTTCATAAGAAGTTAGGATGAGCCTGTTTCCTTAAAGGACTGCTTGCTTCCTTTGGAAAAACGTAGGTTCACCCAGTGTTCTCTCCCCCTACACCGACCTCCAGCTTCTAGATAACTCAGGATTTCTCTATAAGGCACATGTTTTAGTAACAGCAAGGCAACAATTTAGAAAATATTTACAATAATGGAATAAATAAATTTTCCTGGACAAGGAAAGTAAATTCGGGAGAGGCGGGGGGGAGTACATTGATTCAGTCAGTCTGTTGATTTCCAAACACTTCGAAAGCCACTGTGTGTAATTCAATTTACATATAAAGTTATTTTTAAAATATATTTTAAAGTCCCAGGAGCAGAAGGAAAATGAAGGGGAAAATTGCTTTCTCTTTCTCTTATTCCCCCCCGCCCCCCCCCCCCCGCCCCCGTTAGTGTTCAGGGAAAATTTTTGGAAAAAGGTCTCTGCTCATTTTGGAGTCTTCTCTTGCCGGCAAGTAACAAGTCTGTACAATACAGTTGCCAAGGCAATATCGAGACCACGTAGACAGAAAGCATGGTGTACAGACAGGGAGGTGATGGAAATGGATTAACAATGTGAACAAGAGGAATTTTTTTAATTGGAAAAAATAAAATCATACTGCCCTTTAATAAGTGCTTGTGCTAGCCGTCCTAATATCCGTTGTTACAAAGGAAATTCATTATAATAAGGGGTTTTTTTTTTCTACATTGCCTGGTTCATGGATACATGATTTGTCTCCCAGTTATGCCCCTATCTTTGTAACTCTGTACCGAGCCATGTCAAACTTGGTTCTACTGCATTTAAGTTCGACAAAGACATTTTTCATTTGCTAAAGCCAGAGACGTTTTTTCTCTCAGTCTTACTCGAAGCCCTGGATTCAGCCAGACCCTGGCAGACGGAAGAGACAGGCACACCCCTTGCTCCTAAAGCAGCACCAATATTTGCTGCTTAAATAAATGTACTCTCGTCAGACAGGAGTGACCACCAGCCAAATACTTCTTCATTTTCCTAGGACTGTTACTTCAGTTTTTAAAAGGGCTCAAATTTTCTCCATCTTTTCTTTCCCCCTTCAGGTACAATCCTGGGATTTACCCTCCGACCATACAAAATGAGCTACCGAGAAGTCAAGTACTTCTCTTTCCCTGGGGAACTTCTGATGAGGATGTTACAGATGCTGGTGTTACCACTTATAATCTCCAGTCTTGTCACAGGTACCATATGCAGTGTTGTTTTTTTGTTTGTTTGTTTGTCTGGTTTTTTTTTTTTTTTTTAAGTGTGCTTATTGCAAAAGATCACTTAGAAAAGCAAATGCTTTAGGTTTCTGCTGGATGCATGCTCTGTTCTAGAAAAAAAAAAAAGTCCCTTCAAAAATGATGGAAAGGAGGCTTTAGTAATGCATGAATGATTATAACTCTCGTATTTTACCAATCACAAGAGGAAACGGATTTAAACAACCACGTAATCTAGTCTGCCTCACTACAAAAGAGGCACCCTGCTAAACCCTACACAACCAGCCTTCTCTGACCACAGCATTATAGTTGACAACAGCGTACAACAGGTCTGTTTTCTCACCCTCTTATCCCACCCAGATAACATCTGGTTGGACAGCCTATTAGCTATTGATGCAAGAATGCTTGTTCTCAGAGCCACCAGGACTTGAGCGGGAGCCTTCTTGGAAGCCTCATCAAGAGGTAATACCCACAACGCACTCACCAATTCTGCTGCCACCAACACTTTATCTTTTCCTGGTGAACCCGCATGATTTCGTTTCCTTCTCCAGTTGTCCCCCACCCCCGTTACCTATGAGGCTGGTGGGAGAATGGGGAGGGGGCAGGGGATTTCCCCATCTGGATATTTTTGTCAGCTGACACTTGGATTCTCAAGGAGTGGAAGCTTTGCAGGGTAGGATCTATTTTCTGTGACAGTAAGATAACAATCGACTCCTCCATGGGAAATGCTTCAAGAGTCATTTGTACACGTGACTGGCGAATACAAATGGAGCCAAAAAGAAAAAAAAAAAAAAACAAGGTTACTATACATTCCTTCCTGCCCACTCTTCTCTTTCCCCGCAGCACACCTCTGACATGAAGAAAGAATGTCCATAGACACCGTCCCGGCAGGATGGTTTCTAGGTTTGTAGCTAAAGCCCAGAACTCAGGTATTACTGACCCTGTTCTCTTCTCCACCCGTGGCTCACTGTCCCTCCATGGGTACATCTCTCCACCTCTATGTGAGCTGGCTCCAAGCATCTTTCCCCTCCCAGGGAGTCCTCAAGGATATTTATAATCTCTTCTCAAGATCTCTGTGTAGTAAGAATTTCATAGCACAACTCAAAAGTCATAGGGCAAGATTCTGACTGCTGCATGCCTGCGAGGGCTGGCCTAACTTGGACAGGAACTATATCAGCTCTTCCCCCAATGCCTTGCGGATCTCTACTGGCTTCCACTTGTTCAGGTCTTTAAACAAGTGATTGCATGTACAGGAGGCTCCCATTGGAGGGTGAACTGCCCATAAAGCAATCATGTAGGCAGGATGATTGGGATGCTTGTTTCTGAAACAACCTGGTCCATTGCTGACCAGGGGGTAATCCTAGCAGTCCCAATTCTTATCACCAAAGCTAGATTCATGCTGACAGGACCTTACATTCTCATTTTATTATCCACGTGTTGACATTTTTCTGCGAAGCAAGTTCTTGCAGTAGTTCTTAGAGGACAGAACTCACATGTGCCTATTTATTCGGTGGGCAAGTGTCCCTCTTCACCATCCCTACTGGCCAGTGTCTGACTCGAGTCCCTACAGTCTTCCTGGATGCAAACTTGAGGGGTTCTGGATTCCTTTATACTGTCTTTCAGTATAGTATCTAAGTCCCAGTATCTAAATATTGGGACCAGTATTTAGAGGTTTCTGCTTTCTGATATTTGTGCTGAAAACCCACATGTTACCCTTCCAAGAGGAAAGCCCTCATTTGGCACAATTAGAGAAAATATTATTTCCCCTTAATAGCGATCTTGTTCGACTATTACCTCGAAGTGGAATTTCCTGATATTTCTAATACTTAGTACGTCAGCTTCACTGAAGGAATACAAGCTTTCACTGAATAATTGTGCAGGAAAAAAAACCATGATGCGTCTCTTTACATGGTTAAAAAGAAATTTGTGGGAAAACCTTGGAAAAACTAGCAACATTTATAACATTGAAAGGAATTATAAGCTGCAAGCAACCAATATAAAATAAACTTTTAAAATGTAACCTACTTGTACATTGGGGATGCTGCCGCTTGGGACCAATAAGAGAGTCTCAGCCCTTTTCCAGGACTATGTTAAGGCAAGGGATACATGGGCACTGGGTGGCTCAGTTGTTTGCGCATCCGAGTTTTGATATCGGTTCAGGCCGTCATCCCAGGGTCTTGGGATCAAGCCACGGTGAGTGTGGAGACTGCTTGAGATTCTCTCCCCGCCCCCTCCACCTCATCCTTCTCCCCAATGTGTGTACTCTCTCTCTCTCTCTCTCAAAAAAGAGAAAAAAAGGGGGGGGATATAATTTAGTTTGCCAAAGATCTTTGTAAGGTATTAATCTTAAAGATTAATTTCGAAGCTACATAATATTTTGGATACTTATGATCAATTACAATGAACGATTGATTCAATAAGACTTTCCTTTAGGGTTTTAAATACGGTGATTCCAAACCAAAAAGGGAGCAGGGGGTATGACCCATTGGGAATGAGGAGGAGGAGGAGCCTCTAAAAATTACATACATCCCTGGAGGACCTCTGTGTGTGTTGGGAGAAGCTCCTGGAGAATGTGTTGTCTAGGGAGGAAACAGAGTCAGGTCCATTATTTTAGAATGGAAAGGCATACTCAAATGCCTCCTATGGCCAAGCAGGTGATGATTATATATGAAGCTGCCCTTTCAGGGTACTTTTTATTTTCTTTCTATGATAGAGAGAAATATCTTGTGTGTGTGACAGGGGAAGTAACAGGGACAAGTGTGATGACGAGTGGAAAGTGATCCAGCTGCACAATCAGATAGACAATGGGAGGCAAGGAGACTGTGGTGACCTGAAAAGTATCTGCTTCAGCCGATTGTTGCTCTGTGTCAACAAGGGCCAAATCTTCTGATTTTTTTAAGAGGGTCCAGAAATCTAAAAAAACTTAAGAACCTCCTAATTTTTCAATGTTGATACAATTCACAGAACAAAACACTGCAAGCCAAACAAAGCTCCCCTGCAGGCCAAGTCCAACTCTTGGGCTACCAATATAAGAACTCAGGTGTGAATGTCGGTGTCATTCATTGTAAGAAATGCACTGCTGAGCTGGGGCACCCATGGAGCTCTCACTGGGTTTCCCTTACGGCCTTATTCAAGTGTTGACAGTTCACACCAGAGCTGGAGTCAGTGTGCTGTCCACAAAACACCACATTTATTGACACTTAAACAAATAGCTATTGGAAAACCTGTCCTCTCCATCTTCTGTGTCACAGTTGTGCTGATCTTTCCTGCACCTGATAGGAACACCAGAATAAGAACTCGGGGGTGATGCTCCCACAGAAAGTATTTCCCAACGGGAAAATGTTTGACAGACTTAATGTTTTTAAGTCAACAAGTCCCAGGGTCTTGACAGACAGAGATAGAAATGCATGAAGCCCTTACTACATGTGTTGGATTAGGTATTCTGTTTTAGAAGACTCTGTGCATTTTATTGTGCTAAAGTCACATTTAAACTCAGAAATCTAGGGGTGGCTGGGTGGCTCAGTCAGTTAAGTGTCTGACTTCGGCTCAGGTCATGATCTCACAGCTTGTGAGTTTGAACCCCACATTGGGCTCTGTGCTGACAGCCTGCTTCAGATTCTGTGTCTCCCTCTCTCTCTCTCTGCCCCTCCCTCTCTCTCTCTCTCTCCCCCTCAGAAATAAATAAACATCAAAAAAAATTAAATTCCAAAATCTAAGTTAGGTTTTCGTATTTGAAACATTTGCGTTTGTGAATTGTGGCTCTCAAGCTCCCATAAGCCATGTTCTCCTTTCCCAAATTCGAAATTCCAATCGTTCCAAATATCCTTGGTGTGTATTAGCAATTCCAGAAGCTGCCAGAGAGAAGCTGGGAGCAAGCCTAATGGATAGATTTGTACTCAAGTACCTGTGTTTTTGAAGAGGAAGAGTAAGTCTGTGCCAACACACCACACAATAAAATGGGGGGTTGGCACCAATTTCTATTGATTTGGTCAGCAGAGGCAGCCAAACTAGATATTTCATGCCAGAAATATGAGTTGGTTTGGCTGCCTTAGCCTGATTAAATTCACTAGATAGTAATTAAACTCCATTTCAGGTTGTACTTTGTAGACATAACTATCAGAAACCTAGTGCTTTCTTTTTCTCATCTCTTCTTTTCCTCCTCAATCACTTACCTCGGAGGGAATCTTTTGTGTCTCCAGTTTTCTGGAAGCCGGGAGCACCACTTGACAAACGATCTCTGTGAGTTGGGTAAGAGTGTAAGTAAAGGGGAGTGGTAGGGGAATGTCAACAACAGTAGCAGCAGGGTCTGGGGCCTGTGGTAGGACACCCTGGATTTGAGATTATAAAACAGGTGAAGTTTATCTTTTCACACTCATTCGTCCATTAACAGCGATTTTTTGAGTTCTTGCTATGTCAGACACTGAGCTAGGCACAAGAGATACATGAATACAAAGATATGGTCCCCAAGAGGATGTATGTTGGGTGGAGAGGGAGAGCTTCCCTGCATCTCTTAAATCACACAATATACGTAAGCAAATCCTAATTCCAACTGTGAGGGGGTAAGGCTGGTCCTCTGTTAGGTGACCTCTTGTTAGGTGGCCACAGGCTGCACTCTGAGCCACCAGTTTGCTGCAGCTGATACAACGCCTGACCCAAACCCAGCCCGTCCGTATTAGCAGAGGGTTGGCTCCAGGTCACTGTCCCTAATTAGTCATGTGACCTCTGGAGCACTGGGTGCAATTCTGGGAGTGGAATAACAAGGGAGGGCAGCCAGGGCAATGAGAAAGACATTTGACTGATTTTAGGAACATGATTCCAAATCTGATATTTCAAGTCATGGCATCTCCATCCCAAAGTTACATGGGTACCACTCCTATTCTCATTTACTTAGAATGTTCTTGAAATCCACATGCGTACTTTTCTTCCAATGTTTCTAATCATTACAGAAAGTGGAAACCTGTTACTAGTCTAGTGAAGGAGAT